AAAAAAAAAACAGGATTTTACAAGAGTCAGAGTTGATCAGCGTGCGGAATACGCTATGAAGAAGTTCATGGAAAAGCAAATTCATGCTAAAACACGATCGACCGGCAAGCAGCATGTAGAAAGTGGCAATTGTTGTGTGACACTTGGAGTCTTCTACCTGTAAAAAGCCATGCTGTAAAAGTCCGTAACTTAAAGCTTAAACTAAACTAATAATCAAATTCAGGTAAAAAGTTGAAAGAAGCAACTGAAGCGACTGTACATTGATATCAAACAACAGTTCTGGAAAGCCATGATTTCCAGCAACCGATGAACAACACAACGCTTGAAGTGCACCGCACCACTCGGAAGAAAGCGAACCAATAGCAGAAATATGACCACATATATTAGCTAATTCGACTAGCCGATCATAGTTATCGCCACACTGGTGCGCACATTTCAAAGCACTGACTACGAAACTGTATCGCGCATCAGCAAATTTCTCCAAAGTAGCACACCAACTTCGGTAATCATTGAAGGAGAATATACGCCTTAATAGCGCAGTTCAATAAGCATCAAAAAGCAAAATTTAACTACAGAATAAAAATAAAAAACTTCTTCAGTGAGAAAACGAAAAATCACCTTGGAGATTCCAACAGTTCTTTAAAGAAATGTGAACTGTACTTAGCAGTGGTATTGGACGGTTGCCTATTTGGTGCAACTCGAGCCGGTTCTTCATGTTTCACCTCAAATTCTTTTTGTGGTAAATCGGTTCTAAGCAGAAACTTCTTTGTATTTATTACAAATATAGCAATCGTGCGACCCCACCCGGTAAGATATTTCGCCGATAACTGTTTTTCCACGATCCGGTATAAACTAAAACGACAGATAATTCAAATCATAAAAAAATACTAAACAAGAAACCATAAAACAAACTCAGAATAGGAAGTAATAAGGAGGCTTACAAAACCGAGCAAAAACAATCAAAATTTTAAATACTAACCCATTTACTATATCAACAGCATGTTCACACAGCAGGAAGTAATTGAAGTTATGACTAATATAAGCAACTAAAACAAATCCCAATTGAGCAGATATATTTGATGGTATGCAATCAACACGCTGTTCGGTAAGTTTCTTCTCCAACTCAACTAGTAACGGAAGAAGCTAAAATACTATTAATTGACTTTTTAGTGGTTTCAAGTATTACGCCAGAATATTCTAACAAAAAAAGAAAAGTTGCAGTAATTGACTTACATGTTTCGCAAAATCCATAATTCCAGAGATAAATTTACAGTGATCGAGCATGCTAAGTAAAACATCTAGACCTTCAGCACTTGGAAGAACCGAATTATGACCGTCAACAAAATCACTGACCATAGCGATAAAAACTTCAGTAAACCAGCCACAAAGTACTATCTGATCGTAGTAAGATTGGATCCTTAACATTTTTATCACATTGAACTTAAGCACGTAAAAAGTTTAAATATGGATAGACAGCAATATTATAATTTCTAGACTGATGTTTACTTGAACTTCTGGACTGCAGCGCTAATCTGTTCCACTGTAGCGCGTTTTTTAAAGCGAATTTCGACAGGTTTCAGAGAAAACTCAATGACTATGCGTTTGCTCCAAATCTTAATGATTTCTTTAGCAATTTTTCTTAAATCATTCAAAGCCACTTCTCGTTGCTCACCGACACCATGTAAAAGCAGTGCCCTAAAAACCGTCTTTAAGATTAGAAGACACTTTCGAGTTCTGCAGCAATTGTATATCAACTGTCAGTTAAAAAATGAATTGCTGATGCAATTCATGAAGTTAACGAAATAATGGTAGAGATAAACAAGCCTCTGATTGCAGTCACTTTGGCACTGCTTAATTTGCGGAATTGGAAGATGGATAAGCAAGCGCTCATGTTGCGTCAATTCCTTGCCCATAAACGGGTGTTCATCTGGAAGATCTTTTTGCATTTCAGCAATTGATGGTCCCATCCCATCACCAGGTTTTTCTTCAAGGTTAACTCCACTTGTGAGATTTTTTGGAGGCATAGTAAAAAACTGTTGCTACAAAAAAACAAAGGTTACCAGACTTCAAAAAACAAAATAATTGTCGCGCAAAAACACATAAAAAAATATCGCAAGATCGCCATTTGGAAGAATAAAAATCAACACCTTTGCTGTTGATTCTTCTCGGCTTTTAATTAAAGCAAGAATAGGAGTTTGGTCAGACATCTCTCCAGTCGTTATCAAGCCTTTCACATAAGAATCGTGTGAAAAAAGCTCTAATTTCTGCAACTCGTAAAAAAGAAGCATCAGGTTTTTAAACTCTTCATCAAACCGTGGATCGCACGGTTGTGGTGCTTCAGTGTTAAGATATTCTAGTAGTATTTCCTGGAGCTGCTGATCACCTAAAGAAATTTCTAGAAACCTAGAATCAAAGCATCAAACTTTTATCATCAGAAAGAAGGTTGTATAGAATAGAAAAAAACAGAAACAAAAAAAAAGGCGAAGTTCAGTGACAGAAATATAATAAAAACAATAAATTAAAGAATTAAATATTAATTGTATCTGCTAAACGGAATTAGAAGAAATTCATTGAATCCATACCAAAATTAGCCTCCTTTCTGTGTTTTCGGTAATTTAGTAGATATGCAACAACTAAAGCTCTATGAGTTCCCTCTCGTTCTACGGTTACTGCCCAGTGTAAAAGCATTTTAATGCGAATCGCATCCTCATACTAAAGAAGAAAATTGACACAGGTGAAAAACTTAAAGTTCTATCAGCAAAATAACTTTACGTACCCGTCGTTTTCTATAAATAATATTTAACAGCAAAAAAAAATAACCTCGAATTTTTCCTTTGGAGGACCACCAAAAACAATAGAATAAATTTTTTCTATGTATCGTGGCTGATCAATGCGCGCTGCATCTAAGGCTCCAAGTACTTCAAGGCAAGCATGTACAACAGTCCCTAAAATTGAAATGAATGAACGGATCAAAAACGAATATTACCTTTCAGAACTACTTTTTTAACTGAAAAGACAATCCGTATATGATAAAATTCTCAATTGAATGATCAATTGGAAAGCATTTAGCAAAACTCAACAAATTAATCAAACTGATAGTAGGTTTTTAAAGAACTGGAAAAGTAAACTTTTAACACGCCAGAGGCTCTCTAAAAATAAAAAACGAATGACGAGCAAGCAAAGAAAGAGTACAATAATGGAATGTCCATCAAAGCGCAAAAAAAAAAAAAATACCTGGCACCAAAAAATGTTTACGACTCATTAAATTAAAATGCTTACGAAAGCTTATTTTTTTCATCTTGTTCAGAGACCAATGATTCTCAACAGCATGACTTCGCCGTTTAACTTCGCTTACTCTTAGCTGAACCATCTCCTGTATTTTTTCACTCCCATACCCAGAAGAGTTGGGTAAATCTTCTATAGCACAAGGCAGTTGGTCAAGAGGAGATCCGCATAACTGATTGAGCATAGGTGGAGGAATGCCTTCAGCAACTGTAAAAGTAAACAAAGTAAAAGTAGAGTAAAAATTAACAAACAATGAAGAACCGTAACAGAGATCTCTTAGTGAAAACCTCGGAAAGAATTCCAAACTAAGGCTCCGGGACAGTCAATTAATATTGCGTGAAGCATTCCAGTCAAAACTGATATCAAGGGGCGTTGATTTTGGCACTGCATCATCCCTTGAAAAAGCTCACTTGGTACTACTGGTCTAAAAATATTCATAAAATACGTTAGATTTGAAAATAACTAAAAAAAGGCACTCCCCCAATAAGATTTTTTGAGTGACTTAAAAAGATTTTGAAATCTTCAGTATTGCTCAACAAATGTATTTGTAACAACAGTAGCTAAATTAAACATGAGAAAAACAAGAAACTAAGACAAAAATCAAATACTAAACTCACCCTCCCTGAAGTGACTCTGCTTCATCTTTGAAAATTGCTAGTCTTTTAGCAATTAAAAAAGCACATCTCCTCGAAAGTATCAAATTTTGCGTTATCTGATCAATGTATTGGGAAAAGAACATAAGGAACATCCGAAAAAGAGTAAAAAAATGAGGCTTATTGTCTGATGGCACAACGAATCGGTCCGAAAATATGTCACAAAGGTCCATTAAGAACTCCTGACGCTCAATCATCCCGTCATAAAATAGCATAAATCGTTAATAATAAACCTCCAAAATCATTTAAAAGAAGGAAAGAAACTTACTTCATACGCATGTTTACAAAGGCAAACAAAGTAGGGCCAGCGTTCCGTATAAACAAGATTTTGTTCTAGATTATGAGTTTCACTTATTTGGGTAAGCATATAACGAATAAACTTTGTAAAAAGCGCTCCTTGTTCTGAAAACAAATAAAGCCAACTGCAATTACGAAAATAAAAACAAAAAAATCAAACGAAAAATCCGCAAAAAAAATAAATAAATAAATAAATGAAAGATAAACCACAAATACCTACCAGAAGCAAGCTGGTCAACAAACGACTTCTTTTGCTTTGCCAGATTACTAGCTACTGTTTGTCCTACAGCTGTGAGTTTCAAATACCACAGAGCCCTTACTACTGGTACTTTATAATCACATAAATATTCTAAGGCACCTTCCTAAATTTTGAGAATATTCAAAAAAAAAAAAAGAAAAAAAGAGGTACCAATTCGATAACATTTCACACTAAAAATTTACATAAAACTTGATAAAGGCCACAGAAACTTTGTGTGCAAACATCCAAACAGTGACAAAACTTCTCAGAACTTACTTTCTTCTTAAAGAACGGGGGACGTTTAGCCAAAGATGATAAAGACTTTCCACGTGCAAGATCAAGAAACCATTCTTTACGCTCCTTTGATTTCACAGCTTGTGTCTGGACTCAACAAGCATTCAAATGAGAGTCAAATCCGAGATCAAAACAGCTGATGCACAATTATAAAATAAAAAAAAATTGACTTCAATAAGATAATTAATCAACACACCGTAGTGTGGCTAAATCCTTGAAAAGCCCCTTCCTTACTTCCCCGTTTTCGTTCTTTATCTAAATTCGCATTGAGTTCTGCCTTCCTGTTCAATATTTGCATAATGACTTGGGCGCCTCGAGACATAGTCTCATCCAGCTTATTCAAGCGAGGAACCTGAAAGAAAAAAACATGACAATCAAGGTAAAAAAAATTTCCTGTTTTCAAGGCCAAAAACTGAAAAACTAGCAATAAAACTTAATTACTTTAGCATTCCATACTATCGACTCATGTTCGTATGTTGTCAAGGCTACTTGGTAGCCTTTCTTCAGACGATCATCACCGAGGTTGTCCTCGTCTTGTTTAGCCTTTAAAAAACCCATACAGTAGGAGGACCACTGTCAGAAGCAAAGGTTTTGTTAAAAATATTTTGTGTTACCTCTTGTGGATAAACATCAGGAGGGCCAAGTCTACCTCGCTTCAAATGTCGACGTTGAGGGGTTTGGTGATGCCATGTCACAACTGTCAAACTTTTCCCATTACCCCCCGAACTCATGCTCACCTTAAAAAAACTTTCCAGTAACCCAAAACAAGAAGAAAAAACGAAATTAAAAAACGTTTCGCCAGAAAAAACATCTCAACTTTACTTTAAGATGAAACGACACCAGTAAATATGAATAAATACAGTAAGAACTGACACGGCCGTTTAAACAAAGAGCAGAACGTGTACTTCGTTAATTGACTCAATACATTCCTACTCAACGTTTGAAATCTATTTCTTATACAGTGAAATCCTTTCAACCCTCATGTAGCTTCTATGCAGTTTGCAAATTACGTGATTTTATCCAGAGAATTCACTCTATTAGAGTTCTTATAAAAAGTTTCAAAATCATGAGTCCAATGTCAAGATGACTTTATTAAACGCCCAATTCTTTTTTCTATTTATCAAGTACAATAATCACCACAACGATTTAATTTACAACATACCTAGCGACCGTGGAGGAATAAATTTTCCATAAAATTCGTTCCATCCATTCCACCATATTTTTTGTACCTTTCATATAAATACAAATCCACTAATTTCTTTTTAAATAAACTTTTAATTCTTAGCTCCATTTTACATTTACTTTTGATATAGCTTATTGGTTTTAAAAAGTTACTCTTCTTCAAGGATGGAACCAGCTCAAGAATCTTATACCAGTTTTCGATCGCCAATTTCGACTCAAAGTCTAAAAAATATAGTAGAAAAAGAATTTGAAGTAATGTGAAAAATTACGAAAAGCTATTATGAGTTTTATACCTAAACTAAGTGCTATAAAAACTGCTTTAAAATTTCTCCTTTTTTAACTACAAGGGCAGTTTCATATTCAGCAGTAATAGAAAGGCACTAAAAAAAAATTGCCAGAACTTCAAATGCAACACATTTCCCATTAAATAAAAGTGACAAATAAAACAGCAGAGGTGAGTCAAATGAAAATTCCGATGACAATTTTCTAGAGGAAAAAACATAACATTTGAAGTTACCTAGTAATCAGGTGAACTGTGGGTGTTTGCCGGTTTCCCACGTACTAAAACAAACCAGGAGTAGTATCATCAAAAACAGAAAACACTCATTCGCACGCCTTTTTCTTTACTCAAATAATATTCACCAAATATGCTGTGTAAAAGAATTGAATTATAACTTCTAAACTATCATCTAAGCCAGTTTCAATCGATTAGTAAATAACTGTCGTTAAATCAAGTAGTTCATTTACAAGTGGAAGCTCTTTCAGTTCTACGGTTCATTTCACGCGAATGTAAGTGGGAATACATGAACCAAATAACTAACCTATTATAAAGCAACAAAAAACAGAATCATCAACTTGATACCAACCTCTAGACACACATATTTGCATATCAAGCCGCAAAAGTCATGAAAATGCTCGTTGCTTTGCCTCCCATATTTGATTTTGTAAGACGACGGTTACGACGCTTTCCGTTGGCGCATTGCCAATTAGTTAATCTTTGCAGCGCAATAGCATTTTAACCAAACTACTCGACTAACCCTGCTCTGTGAGCTATAGCCACATAGTTTTACACCACACATGTTGTACTTTTTCAGGTATAATCCTTTAAAGACGGCATCGGCTGCAACTGTTACGCCAGCCATGATCATGGCCCATTGTATATATAGCGTATATGTACACGCTACCACATCCTCGGCTTTCTGCCTTCCTCTGTTGGTCTGCAACAGTCAAGCGACTGCAGGCTATTGACAGCCAAGGGCATTCTGACCTCATCCAGGCAGCCGATTTCATCCTGTCTCACCAATTTTTGACTACCTCCAGTTAAGCTCGTTACTCACACAAAAATGGAGACATAAAACAGTATAGATGATTAGCATTATCTAAAAAACTTATTCCTTTACTTCTCAATTTGTCAGTTTTTGATCGCTGAAACAGATTCAAATTTAACCTCCAACTCACACCTCCAACACGGTAACGAAGAACAACAAAAGATGGCTGAAAAGTCTGGAAAAGTAAGGGCAAAAACGAAATCTTGATATCTTACGGTTATTTCAAAAGAAAATCAAATACAGCTTAGTTGTTAGAGTCTTCACGTACTAAAAATTTTTCTGCAGATAGTCTTTTTCAACCACTATTTCTCACACAGTGGCGAAGATTCTAAGAAAAAGCTGTTAATTTTGTAGGTTATAGATTTTAATGACTTACTGCTGAATTCTAATTTCTTCTGCTGGACAACATAAAAGTTACAACTAATTAAATTAACTAACCCATTAAATTTCGTTCGCTTACAAAATCGGCGCTACAATTATGGCCACTACTGTACTTGTTTTCCAAGATACAGAACTCTTTTAAAAGGCGCAGGATGAGAATCAGAAAAATCATTAACACAGTGTCTTAATGCAACATATAATGTTTTCTACATTAGTCAGTTTGACTGAATTTGTTGATACATACATGCACAGCAGCTTTCAAATGAAATTATGTAGGTTGTCATAACGCCTTAATCTTATTAGTCAATATATATATAAGAGCTTTCTAGGCAAACTACAACTGTAAAATTTATCAGATTTATCAGATATATATATATATATATATATATATCTGATAAATCTGATAAATTCTTGGAGTACAGCTGATTGCTGCTGAGGAACAAACACACTGATGCAATGATCGTTGGTAACAACAGGTGGTCATAAATGTTTGCAGGAAAAGCTGCTGCCGGCCTGATAATTGGATTTAATCTTCATATCTGTAAGTTCAGTTATGATACTTTTTTCTTCGACTGAATTTAATTTTTTAAAAGACGTACAGGGGAAGATAGCAAAATTCAAATTTTTCTTCTTTTTTTTTTCATTTTTTTTCAATTAAAACTGTTAGAGCAATGCTTTAGTTTGAATTTATTCTCTTACAGTCAGTTACTGTTTTCTTCTAATCTTGCCACTGTTGTTAAAGTTTTGTTTGCTGCTGCTGCCACCAATGAATGTGTGAAAAAACTATACAACAATAAGAGGGCATTAATTTTGTGTGTTTGCAATGCCACTTATTGCGATACGGTGGAACCAGTTGGATCATTGGAACGTTACGAAGCAGCAGTTTATACGACGTCAAGAAGTGGCAGAAGATTACAGCGCAGAACTGATGTATTTGTTGACGAAGAAAAGCTGAAAGAAGGTTTGATAAAATATAAAAACTGGAGCAAAATGTATTGGTTTAAGCACGTAGTGACCACTGAAGCGTATTAAACTCATTATTGTTATAACGGTTATTATTATTGTTATTATTATTACTATCACTATTATCATTATTATCATTATTATTACTAATACTACTACTACTTTTTTTAGGAGATAGGGTGATAATTAATGCTCAGGAAAAGTACCAGTCGATTATTGGATTTGGTGGTGCATTTACAGATTCAGCTGGCATTAATTTTAAAAGTTTGCCACCTGACGCTCTAAATAATCTGCTCAAATCATATTATGGTCAAGACGGTTAGCACTTTTTCGTTGTGCCTTTGTTGCCAAAACCAAAATACTATCCATTCTAAAGTCGATGATCCAATTTTATCAAATTTATATCACTGAGGTACTACTATTATCAAAGTTGTTTTTCATACTCTCAGTAAGCAAAGATTGCTTGGTTAATGCGTTCTGATAAAAAAAGCTATATGAATGAGCAAATTTTCGTTGATGCATACTGCGCAAGGCGTATGTCTCCGTGTGCAGAAACAACGAAGTTAATTAATAGATTTCTCAACAGCAAACGGAAAGTTACATTTTAGGAATACAGTACTCACTTGGGCGAATACCAATAGCAAGTTGCGATTTTTCTACTCACGAATATTCATATGATGACACGCCAGGAGATTTTGAGTTAAAAAATTTCAAATTAGCAAAAGAAGATATTGCTTTCAAAGTAATTTTGGCTTTGCATATTAAATTCAACTATCTACCAATTTATCGTCAGCGTTTATGCTTTTTAAGACCAAGGAATTACTTGTCTAACTAATGCCAATCAGTAAGTTCACCAATTCAAAAGTGATTACAGATGTCAGTCAAGTGACTATAATTTTTTTAACGGTTTTAGAAATACAAAATTAATGAAGTTGGGATTACATACTGATCTGAGGTAATTACGGTAGTCTGATTAAGGATTACATTGGTGACCATAATGGTCTGTCTATTTCGCCTTTTAGAGTAAATTTAATATCATTAGTAATTATTAAGTTTTAGTTTCCGTCTTTCTTTACATGACCATGCTTGCAATTTGCACACTGTTTTATAATGTTATGGTTTGTAAACGTTTGATAATACTAACAAAAATTTTCAGAGATAAAGCGAATTTTTCAGATACCGTTTATTCGGAAAGCTCTCAATTTAACGAACAATGACCTTCGATTATTTGCATCACCTTGGTCTGCGCCAGGGTGGATGAAGACTAACGGAGAAATGCGAGGTGGTGGTAGTCTGATCAACGATCCTGCACATCGATACCATATTGCATGGGCAAAATACTACATTCGGTATGTGTAGAGCAAAGGAATATTAGAAATCAAATTTTTTAATAGCTATTTTAATGGGTCACCCTTTCCGTCAGGATAGATCTACCTATTGTATTTAAGGTGAGACTTTAGGTTCTTAGAGGAATATGCGAAAAATGGGATCAACTTTTGGGGTTTAACTGTTCAGAATGAACCAAGTAGCGGTGCTCTTCCAGACTACAAATGGCAAACGATGTTTTTCAGTTCTGAAACTGAAAGGTTTGAAAAATATATGGTTAACTGAATACTTCAAATTTAGCGTATAATTTAATTAACTCAGTTTTTTCTGTATTAAGGAGAATTTGCCTGATAGGTGGTTGTAAATAAGTCTGTGCACATGTTTTTAGGGAGTTTGTTCGTGATTATTTAGGACAAGCACTGAAGAATTCAAGTGTTGGGAAAGACATTGCTTTAATGATCTTAGACGATAATCGATACTGGCTCCCCGTATGGCCAGATCACGTTGGCTTTTAAAACATTTATTTAATGACGCTTGAAAAATTCAGAAGTTAAAGGAAAACTAAAATCTGATTTTTCTCTCAAATTAATCAAGCGTTTCTTTCCACTATTGACCAAATAAACCTCCTTTTAAAAAAGTTAAGGTCTTAAGAGACAGAAAAGCTGCGAATTATGTTTCTGGAATAGCGGTTCACTGGTATTCAAACTATCCAATTTTTTCTCCATCCCGATTGAGCGAAACACATGAAAATCATCCGGATAAGTTTATTTTGTCAACTGAGGCAAGTTTTTCTTGCTTTTTTCGTGTTCAAATAGTTTGCACGGTTTTTTTCTGCGATATTATAAAAGGTTTCCTTATTCTAAAAAGAAATTAATTAATTTTTTTTAAGTAAAACAAAAATAAATGTTTTTAGGCTTGCAACGGAAATCTTTTTTGGGAACAAGGACCGAAACCAGGCAGTTGGACAAGAGCTGAAAATTATGCTAAAGACATAATTGAAGTAAGTGTTTTATTTTTTAGCTATTAATTTTAAATTTTTTCTTGATTATTCCATAATTTGGACATGAATAGGAAAAATTTTGACTGAATGGTTGATGTTGAGTCTCCTGTTTTATACAACCACAACTGATTTTGTAGAATTTGGAAAACTGGGTTGTCGGATGGACTGACTGGAACCTCGCATTGGATTTACAAGGAGGACCAAACTGGGTAAAGAATTTTGTTGACTCCCCAATACTTGTCAATGCATCGGGCAGTGAATTTTATAAGCAACCGATGTTTTACATTATGGGACATTTTAGGTAAATTTCTTTAAAATAATTTTTGATATAGAGTTTTTCAACCTATGATTTTAAAACATTTAGAATGAGTGAAGTTTTTTTTTCTTTTATCGTTGACAAACGTTTTGATTAACATTAGAAAATGACCACGTATGCAGCGATCATTTTTTAGCAAATTTCTTCGCCCAGGATATGTCAGAATCGGCATACAACTACCAAACAACTTGAAAGGAGTGGTTTTTGCAAGTCAGTCGCAACAGAGAGTGCTTGTCCTGCAAAATCTTAGCAATTTTCCGGTCAAAAATTTGATTATTCAAGATGCTACGATGATCAGTAAAACAATGACAGTTGAACTTGAGCCTCGTAGTATCACTACCATCATATGGAGTAAGACGAGATGAATAGAACTTGTATTTTGCTAAACAACTAATTAATTGGCATTTATTGGTGCCGTGAACTTTTGAGGTGCAATGTTTAGAGCTTGAAAGTACTTCTTTATTCTGCACTAGTAATGTGTAAATGGAATAAATTTGTGAAATACTTCTATAATTTTTATTTTACAGCTAATTTTTTTTACAAAAGAAACGACAGACAAATACCAGTACTATTTATTTCTCGTGCATTTTCAACACAGATGGCGGTATAAATCCAAAAATGATGCATTATAGGTTACTTATGACATCACTTTTATATGATAAGCACTGCTTTTAAAACTGTTTTGAAATCGATCGAACAGAAATAGGTCCAAATTAATATAAATTTATTGACAGAAAATTAAAAAATGTTTACGTTTGTAAAGTTTTTGATCTACTACATTCACTGAAACCTTATGCTACTTTAAGCTTAAGCACTTATGCACCAAGAACGATAGGATAACGACGATTTGTATAGCTGAGGTAAAAACTCCGTTGACCGGTACTACTGCTATAGTCGCAAAAGTAAACTATGTCAGTTCGTTTAAATTTCTCGTACGAGTTACCAGTACCACTTAAATTAAATTGTCAAATTTTCTGATAAGTTTTACGTTTTCTGAAAAAATATCTGTTTGCAGTCTTCAGTTCTAGTCTTTTAACTTTTGGAGAAATATTTGACTTCCCACAAGCTGACTTATGTATTAAAAATTTATAGCAAAAAAGCAAAAAAAGTGATTTTTTTGATCGTTTTATGTCATATAATATCTTGGAAAGTTATTGAATAAAAATACAAATAGATTATAATATTTGATTTCTGCTACACTGTCTGAAAAGTTTCTTTGAATGTTGCACCAGGATAGCAATTGTCTTATCATTTTCTGCTTTTCGGTTTTTCAAACCAATTCTTCTTCTATTTCACGGTCACTTTTTTCACTTATTCTTTTTTCGTATTTATTGTTCAAAAGGTAGTCACTTTTTTAAGATGGAGGCGGAGGGAAAGAAGTTTTTCATTTCTTAACTTTTAAGCTTTTTTTTTATTTTTACTTTTTGCTATTTGAACGTCTACTGAATCATCAATTCTTTTATTTATTTAACTGAAATCAGACAAAACAAAACAAAATTGAAATGTTTCCTAAAATAGCTTCTGATGGAACGGGCCACATAGAAGTGCTCAGAATAGTGAACAGATTAGATGTTCAACTTTTCAATGTGCTGCTTTTTACTGTCTGATAATATGTTACGCTCATTGGCTTCTAAGGGGTATGACGCAAAGGTGAGCATTTCAAATACATCATTTCGTTTTGTCTTTCTGAGTCTTTTTTTATTGTTATCGCTGTTAAACAGAACTGCTTTTTTTGGAACATATGTGTCCAAAAAAAAAAAAAGCGTTTATGTTTTGCCATTTTTTCTTTTTCTAAAGAATTAACAAGAAAAACAATTTGTAAATGACTCATCAGTTTTGATCTATAAGATAAAAAAGAAGCGCTTAAGACGTTGTCTTCCTAATTTTTAAATTTTAGTTTTGCTTTTGGTCCCCCTTTTACCCGATGTTTAACGTGTTTATTGGCCAAACAAAATTACTGGTCATCACTCTTTTTTTGTCCCTACTTTTAACACCAGTTTCAGGTAATAGCTTTTTTTTTAACTGTAACCAACTAAAAGAAGTAATATTTGCTTAAGGTTAATATTTTTAAGCCAGCAAGTCGTGATACAGTTTAACCAGCACCTTTAGAATCCTATTTTTAATCGAGAATTGTCACTGTATTAATTATATCAGTAAAAAGTCTTAGCTTTTTATTATAATTCAGTTTTATCATTCAGGTATATGTGATGACGAATTTTTTTTCTGGTCAGGTAGCTGTTATAACTTCCATTTTGTAAGTTTCTACTACTGTTCACATTACTCAAACTGACAGGTCGTTTACTGCTCATTGATATTATATGCATATCAAAAAGCTACATAACAACAACGACAGCAGTAAAGATAGTTGAAACTTTTTTTTAGGCAAACATTAAGGTACCCTACGATTATGCAAGTTCAATTTGTTCGGCATTAAATGCACATTTGGTGTCTATCCATTCTGAAATTGAAAACAGTTTTATTAACAGTAAGACCATTATTGAGCGCAATAGATTAATTGCTTATTAAAAACAAAACAAAAAAAAAAAAAGAATGATTCGGTTTTTCATTCTTTTGGTTTTATTTCTGTAACTTTGTTCTCTTTAATCTTTTGTTGGAAGAGACTTTTTGTGTATTGATAATATACAACTGCAGAAGTGCATAATATTCGATCTATCTGGTTGGGCTTAAAACTGACAAAAAATTTTGACTGGAAATGGGAAGACGGATCTGTTTACAATTATTCCAGCTGGGATATTTTACAACCAAATGGTTGTTGTGGTGCAAATGTTAGATGTGCAAAAATGAACTGGATTATCAAAAATGGTAAATGGCACGACCTGTCTTGTCAAGATGAAAGTGGTGTCGTATGCAAATATGATCCAAAAAGTAATCAAATTTCACTAAAAACTAGTAGCTTGATATGTACAGAAAAAAAAAGCTTTTTATAACTTTAGTAAAAGATTTTGTAATATAATAAGCTATCATTGACTTTAAAGATTAAATTACCGAAAAAGAGGTTTTTTAACACTCTCATTCATGACACATTAATTTTTTCTATTCCAATATTATTGCACCCATATAGGTCAGTAACTTGTTTCCTTTACATTTTACAAAGAAAATTATAATCAGATTTATTTTTACAGTTTTGAGATAATGTTTTCCTTACATGAAGTTAAAAGTCTAACAAAAAGAATTTTTTCTTGTAAAGATTTTAATGACCTTAAGGTTTATGAAAAATAATTCTGTAAAAATGAGCATTTGCGACATAAGTTTTCAAAAAAAAGACTTAATTTTATCACGTATACAGCGAGAATGTTCTAGACCACCAAAGTTGACATGTTCTTAAGTGATTAGGATTAAAAAAAGAAGAACAAGTAGTTTCAGCATCTCTGTTTTAATTATTCATTCCTATGTGTTTTGTTAAGCTTCAACCGTCCTGCTGCTAAGTGTCTAAATTCAAAAACGACGTGCAAATTGAGTGATTCTTTAGGAACTCGTATAATAGTTATTCCATAAAAGATAACATCATTTTCTACTATTGCAGACCGAAATGTAAATGGGCAAAATATGGCAGAAGATGAAACGCAAGGTTTGCCCAAAAGACGAATAAAAGGTCCTTTGTCACAAGAGGCTACGACTACAGAAGCAGGGGTAAAAGCAGAAAATGAAAAACAATCAAAAAATAATAGCCAACAAAAAAACGACAACAGATTTTCGTCTAAAACTAAGTGGCCGTCAAATATAATTGCTGATTACTCATTCCGACGGTCAGTTAAGCAACCCAAAACAGTCACAACCACTTCAGAAGAAACACAGACACCTAATTTTGAAGAGGCAATTTCTGATGATATCAGTGCAACAAATTCTGCTAAAAAAACAAGTGTGAATGCTAAAACTTTACTTGCTACTGTCTTAGAAATACCTGCAAATGATACAGCACCCTCAAAGATAGAAATGAAACCTAAAAATGAAAGCTTAGAAAAATCTACCATCAGCAGTGCATCTGAACGTAACTACGGCTTTGACGGCACGATAACTGAGCCTTCAGATGTCAAAGAGAGCCAGTCGATAACCAGAGGTTATGGTTTTAATTCAACAACATTTGATATAACAAAACAGATTTCAACCAATTTTGCTATCGATAAAGAGAGTAGTTCCACTGCAGTACCAGAGGAAAACATGCTACTTACACGACCAAAAGACGAGCTTACTTGTTCTTCTGAGGCTCCATCAACCTACAATTCTATAAAAAAATTGGCCACTTCTCATGAAGATACTTCAGCAAAAGCGATAGCGGTAGAGACATCTGAAAGGAGAAATGGAACTATGGTAGATCAACAGTTTGTCACTCAAACCGATTTCAAAACGTCCACTACAGCCATTACAACGGCGGCAGAAAAATCCTTTTCAGTATCTACTATTAGGAATTATGTTGACAAGCGAATTTTTCTAGAAAAAAATTCCTTCACTACACCATCTATTCCGCTCGCTGAATCTGCTACAACAGACTTTAATACACCTTCAAATTCAGAGAATAACGCTTTTAGACTACTGAGCAACACAAGTACACCTAAAAAAAACGGTAAGTTTATACCAAATGTTTTTGTTGTTGCTAATTGCTAGTCATTCTTTAAGTTTTTACAACGACAAATCTGGAATTTTTCTCAATGAACCAAAATTATTGAGATTTATAAATCATCTTATAAAAGTACGACAAGATTTTATGAGAATTTAGTTTGTTCAGGCTCTGCATCCTTTATTTCGCTGGTTTTAACGCACATTTTGAATAACAATTGGTTCTTTGAGTTTACATCAAGACTGAAAATTTTTCCTCGTCATTTTTGTTTCAGTTCAAAGTTTCTTTTGGAATTATTGTTGAATAACAGTTTTTTACTCTGTTTGGTTTTTGAATTTAAAGAGTATTTCTAGTTGACAAACGTAAGCGGTGTGTACCAAAGACCGTTGGTGACGGGAATATAGTATGCGTTTGTAACGCAACATATTGTGACGAGTTTCCTAGCGTTGGAAAGCTTCATTCTCATCAAGCAGTAATTTTACAAACAACAAAAAGCGGTAAACGATTTGAAAAGTCTTCAGGAAACTTCTGCTACAAAAGGCGCAAAGATAGGGGTACAACAATTTCGGTTCATTTTTTTTATGCTTCTCTTATTATCACTAATCTTTTTCGAATTTTTTCCTTGGAATTTGGCTAAATTTTTTTTTCAAAATATCCTCTAAATTTCAGAGTTCTCGTTTTGAGCTTGCTAAATAAAACATGTGCGGAAATTTATTCAACATTATTTGTAAAATCTGTTTATCTCTTATTAAAATCCACTAAACGTGTAAAGTTATCATCAATTTCAAAGATAATTTTCAGCATCAAAAGAAATTATAATCACTGTAGATGCTAGGAAAAAATATCAAGAATTTATTGGATTTGGAGGTTCTTTCACTGATGCTGTTGGGATTAATCTGAATGCTCTAACGCAGCCTACTGTAGATAATCTCCTCAAGTCGTACTTTACAAGTGACAAAGGTAAGTTACAAAACAATCAAAAATCCTCTATGCAACGAAGTTTTGAAAAGTCATCAACAATTAACATGCACCCAAGCAATGTAATAAAAACACAAAAAATTCTTGATAAAGCAGAAACTTTTCAGGATTACATTACACTCACTTAAGCATACCCATAGCAAGTAATAGTTTCTCGACAACACCATATTCTTATGATGATGAGGACGGCGATTTTGAACTGAAACATTTCAATTTGACAGAGGAAGATTATGAGCTAAAGGTTTTTAATTAACAATCACACCACAACGTATGTGAATAAATTGTCATTGGTGTCGGAAGATGAAGACGAATGAAAAAGCAAATAACAGAGTGACAGACCTTTTCAGATACCATATATCAAAGAGGCGAAAAAATTAGCGCAGAACAAGCTTAAATTATTCGCGACACCATGGTCAGCTCCAGGCTGGATGAAAGTGTCAGAAAACATGCTTATTAATAGTCCACTAAAAAATGATACGAAATATTATCAAACCTGGGCTAAATACCTTTCACGGTACCAAAAATATTTCGCTTTTTACTAAAGCATTTCTATCATTTTTTCTGACAGCTTTTTTCGTGTCATGTACAAATTCACTTTCCTCAGTTTAGCTTTTTGGAGGAGTACTCAAAAAACGGTTTAAATGTTTGGGCATTAGCAGTACAAAATCGTCCATATAGTAATGCGACGAAATCCTGGCAACAGATGCGCTATAGCACACAAACGAAAAGGTGTGGTCCTTTCCTTTTTTTTGTTTTTTTCCAGTAAAAAATACATAATAGAAAGAATCTTTTTGGTTTTATCAAACTATCTTTCAGAGATTTCATCATAAACTATCTGAAACCCATGCTACAAAAATCTAAATCCGGTAAAAACGTGGAGCTTTTGATCTTTAATGATATTTACCAATTTTTACCCAGCGCGGTAGATCAGGTGCAGTACTAATCTGTTTGTCTTGTACTCTTCTGTGAAAAGAATGATGTTGAAGTTAAATATGTTCAACTTTTAAAAGACTATGGAAATTTGTTTACTCTAGACTGATCATCACCCTCGTGTGATTACTTATCCAAACACAAACCGTGAATATGACTAAAACTTAAGCAGTTACATTAAGGTCCTTAAAGACAGCCAAACGTCCAATTTTACATCTGGTATTGCTGTACAGTGCGATCAAAACAGTTTTAATGAAGATTCCTACACTGTATTTTCAGAAGTGCATAAAAAGCATCCAGAGAAATTTATCCTCCTCACAGAGGTAAACCTTTGAAAATATAAGAATATTTTAATAAGTGAAAGCTACAGGATTAAACGTCATAGTTGAGCGTTTACAAATATTTAACCCTCTTCACTTACGTTCCATAAAAGTATTCCAATAAACGTTTTAAAGACCGCTGCTGGCCGACTGAATCCAACACATGATGACTGGAGCAACGCAGAGATATACGCCAACAGTATGATTGGGGTAAATTTTTCTAATTTTAAATACCTTAATTTCGAATCTTTAACATCTAACCGCAATCACGTTTCACCTTTTTTCATTTAAGAGTCTGCTAAATTATGTTTCCGGATGGACCGATTTTAACCTATGCCTTGACCAAGAAGGAGGACCAAATCTACTAGACCTCTCCGTCAGTGCGCCAATTTTAGTCAACACGGCAGCTGATGAGTTCTACAAGCAGCCACTGTATTATTTCCTAGCACACTTCAGGTACCGTCTCATATTTGAGCTTTCAAAAATCCCAAGCTCACCTAGTGTAAACTTCTACACCTACATAGCGATTAAAATAACTGCATAACTTGGCACGTTCCGCGGACAGACATAGATAACCGCTGTAAACTAAATAACATAAATCACTACATAAACCGTCACAATGTCAACTAAAAAAATTACAAAATTAAACAACTAATAAGCTGACAATAATAAAGAACAACTAGTTTTAGTAAATACATATCACCTGGTTCAAAAAGACTGAAAGTGTCATTCTCAAACAAGGCTGGCGGTGCTAACGCTGTGGCGTTTTCAACTCCCGCAAACCAG